GGGTATGAATGAGACTGCAGGAAAGTGGCAGATCTGAGAGTCTTCATAGGGATGCAGAGCTGCTTCCAGTCACTCTCATGCCTAGTGCTTGAACCCTGTACAAAGATGTTGGGTACTTACGGCTGATTCATAGTGCTGAGACATATCCAACTAGGATATAAGTGAGGTTGGAGCATTTCTAGAGACAGCGGGAAGCAGGGGTTGAGGGCAGAAAGGGAGCTGTAAGGAAACCCTAGGAATAATCAAGCTTAGGGAGGAAACTGAGGTTTTTATCACTATTTTTTGAGTTAAAGTCAATCCTCAGGGAGGGGTTAAGGATGCAATATATACAGTGTGTATATACACTATTTTCAGACTTACATTTACTTACATGCTACCTCCTCAGAACAAACATCATCACCCACTAGCCAGACGCAAATATCTATGAAAACACAAATGTGGGCAAGCCACGAAAATTCCATGAAACTATTCCATGGACCTCTGGGGAGATTTGGGCTACGGCTCCCTTTTCTAGTGTTCATGGTCTTGTATTCAGTGAAGATAGAAGGGTCACTATTAGTCAAAATATCCTGCCTCTGTTTTTCCACACCCCCTAAACAGGGAAAACATAAGCGTGCTTTTTTAAATGCATCATGCTGAGGCTCGCCTGTCTTTTTGTAGGTGCACTTTGCCTCTGAAAAATTTGCATCTGCAATCTTGGATCCACATAGCGAACTTCAGGAGCAAAATGGTGGCCGCCATTTTGAAAATTTGGCCAAGCATGTTTATGTTTCAGGCTGATGTTCTTCTGCCTGCACTGCCTGTGAGAGATGAATGAATGAATGATGTTCCTGGTTGTCCTCGTAACACTCCTTCCAATCCAGCCAATATATATTTATTACCTGCCAGGGCACAGGGATGGTGCTGACCAGGACTAGCACAATCTCCTCTGCCTTCTCCTTTTCCTTTATGTGACGGTCGAAACTAGAATGGGTTGTTTCCCCCCAAATTTTCATACATTTCAGTTTACATTAGGCATGAATTGCTCTATTAGCAAGCAGAGAGAATTAGCATCATTTGCTCACATTTCCCTAAGACACAAATATGAGATGGCACTTTGCTTCAGTTAAACACAAGCTTCTTAATGGAAGAGGAGTGCAGCGACATCCATGTCTGACAGGACAGGAGACCTTTCCACTGAAATTTTTGATACTCAGTCTTATTATTTCCATCACTGTAACACCTACAAACCCCAACCACAGATCGGAGATCCACTGTGCTAGGAACTCTACAGACAAATCACAGCTCACAATACTGGGGGGGATGGGGTTGTTTGTATGTTTGTTTTTAATCACCCTAAAAGAAAGGGTCATTGAAATATACTTTTTTTTTTAAATTACAAGAGTGAAGATGCCCTGGAAGAGGTCATTTATGTGGTACAAATTGGAGCTGGTCAGAAAAATGGGTGAAATTGGAGGGATTCCACTGAAAATTTCAGCTGTATTTTTTTTTTCAAAAACCTAGAAGCCAAAGTATTTTCAATTTTCAGATGCCAAAAGCTGAATTTTTTGGACCAAAACCGGAAACGTTTTTAGTTTCACACACACACACACACACACACACACACAAAGATAAATGATCAAGTAAAGCAAACATTTTCTGTGACATTTTTTTTATTTAATCTAAAACCCCACTTTTCACTGAAAAAATGCTTTTATGGAAACTTTTCATCCAGCTTTAGCGCAACCTGAGTCAGTAGGGTGCCTGAGCTGAAGGGATCTATGTATAAAAGCCTCCCACGTACTTTTTCGTGGGAGCACGACATGTGTCCCTTCGCCAACCAGTTTAGCCAGTTCACTCCTCCTGTGCCCTGCACAGACCCTTCTCACCCCTATTGGAGCACAGGTTTCCCTGAAGGACCCCAGAATGCTGCATCTGGATTCTGAACCTTTAAACTGCAGGGGTGTTAAGATCTGGGGTTTGGGACTGGCCATTTATCAGAATCGGGGCTCTTTGGATGTGGATTTTGAAACCCCTTCTCCAGCTCCCTAGAGTTCAGGGCTGTTCAGATCCAGGGCAGGGGTTCAGGCCCGTCTCCCGGTATAGCAGGAATATCTGGACTCATAAAACATTCCTACACATATTTTTCACTGGGAGAAGGGTTTGAACTTCCTAGGCAGTTCTTATGCGGGGGTGGTGGGGAAGGGATCCATTTCAGCAGGGAAGGAGTACAGCTTTCAAGGGCCTAAAAAACCAGATCATAAACAAATCACCTGTGCAGCCATTTCGATCCAGCACTTAGCTTGGCCGAGGAAGTAAGTGCATGGTAGTGTTAGCCAAGGCGTGGCACAGAACCTGTGGGGGACCCCTCTCCAGTTACTCAGCAGTGCAGGCAAAATGTGGCCAGCTGCACAATATCACAGCCACAGCGCAGTAAACAAGCATCAAATCGCCTACTTCCATTTGCTCCTGCTGTGAGCCAGAGTGCGGAGTTATGTGAAATGACTGTATCCATTTGCACACCATGCAGTTCTGTGGGTGCGTCTCCTTCTGAATGTTACTGAGACCAAATTTCATCAACAGTCTGACTTTGTGGGGGGAACTCCATGGGACAGAAACCACTCCCCGCAACCTGCAGGCTGCCTTCGGTCGCTGCTTTTAGACTGGAATATTGGCTGCAGCCCCGAGCACATTAAGACACATTTAATGGCCCTGGCTTGCCCCACCCCCATGCTCCTCTTCTGAGCCAGACCACTTGGGGCCTCTGCAACCCCAACTGGACTACATGCAGGCGCTCTGCAGAGGCAACAGATGAGTGCACTGGGGGGGGAGAACACCCGTGTGCCCCATTTTGAAATGATGGTCCGAGAGTTACAGGGTTCTCTTCATTCTAACTTCAGAAGCTCTCCCAAAACTTGTCCCCATTCCCATTTCTGTCACCCGACAGTTCCTCTCCCGGCACCCTCCGCTCAGTCATGCGCAGTACTTAATATGTCAGTGGATGCAGGTCTTCGTTTGCAGACAGGTCATGCAATGAAGGCCCCAGCCTGCACTGGACGAGTTGTGCAGCCGAACAACCCCCGGGGAAGCCCCAGGAGGCACAGCCCTTCCCAGTGCAGGGACTGCTCTTGGCATGCCACAGTCTATGCCCCTCTCCGCACCCAGTCAGGGTGGAAAGGAAAAGGGATCACAGCCCTAGCCCTATCTCCTCCCTGTACCAATTGGAGTGGATTAGGCCCAGGAGGGGCACCGTGGGAGCAATCCTATGCTCCTGAAAACGCAGAGACTTCTTGATCCTGGGGCTTGCACGAGGAGAATGGGGAGGGATGCAGAAGGCCTTGCCTGATTGGCTATCAAAGAGCATCATGCCTAACTCTGGTGCTAAACAGATGGTACTGAATAATAATACTAACAACAACATAAATGGATCAGAAAGGCAAAGATTAGCTGAACACTGATCCCCTCGCAACAGACCAAGTAAACATGGTGCAGCTGCTGCACCATGGCCTCCATGTCTCCACACGCTCCAGGGTCAGCCCCTCCTGTCATGATCTCCTCCTTCCATCCACCAACTTCCCTGCCGTAAGAGCACTGAAAGGCTGCCTGCTCAGAAAAAGCAAGCCATTGCCCTGTTCTCAAAGGTCCGGACTCATCTGAATGGCTGTGATATTTTGGGCCAGGTTCTGCGACCCTTCCTCCTGCTGAGCAGCACTTACTCACAGTAGTCCCATTGGGATTACTCACAAGAGTAAGGGCTTCTGAGCATGAACGAGAGATGCAGCATCAGGCCCAGAATAAAGAAAATATAATCATGTAACCCTTTATTTTATTTCAATAAACATTTTCCATCCTGATGTGCTCAGACCAGTATAAAATAACTCCAGCATTTAGAGCTCCAAATTCAAGGCCAGACGGTGAACACCCTCACATTAGCAAGCAGTTACTCACCTGAGTGACTCCATTCTCAATAGAAAGGGGGTCACAGTCCAGCCCTAAATAAGCAGTGACCTGCGTCAAAAGTGACACATTGGTTTTATCAACAGAGGGGATGCCCCATCTTGATGCAAATTTTTATTTTACTTTACAGGAAATGATTTGCTCTGGATTCATGGGTTGAGGTGGTTTAAATCATGGAAGAAAATGAGAGTTTTTACTCCTTTGAGTTTCTCTACATACAGAATCATCAAAACCATTGATACATTAAATATTAAAGACCAGAAACATGTCACTAAACACTGGGAGATGGACCCTGGTGGGGACAACATCTGCTCATTGCTCTCCCCCACACACACACACACAAAAGTCTTTCTGCTGTAGAAAATCCATCCAATTTATCTAGAGCCAGACGTTCATCTGCAGTTAGAGATGCTGCCCTCATCTCTGGAACATTGTGTTGCATTCTATTTCTATGGCGTTTTTAAAAATAGTGACACTCGGAACTTTAGGATTTGTACCCTACAGAGATATGAGGCCACCCAAGCAATTCATTTCCCTTTTGCATAGAACCAAAGGAAGGGATTAGACTCCCTCTCCAGTCTAAATCCAAACCCTAACATGGCACAGGAGCTGTGGTGTGAAACGGGGGGCGCCCGTGGTCCCCCAGGGACCTTCACAGACTGCCAGCTGACTATTTCCAAATCCTTGCTCTGCCTGCTGACAGCCAGTGCAGCGCCTTACACAATTTGCAGAGTCCACCTTTTGAAATATATTTTACCTCTCTGTTCTGTTCTCTGGGTTAACTCTGCTTCCTTTAGGAGGCACCAGAGGGTTGTTTAATATGAACTGTGGCTGAAAACCTTCATCATCCCTGAGGAACCATTGGGGGTGGGGGGACTCCTTAGCTAAAATGCAAAGGAAAGAACTTGGAGAAGTGCAAGAGTTTCAAACATGGTCTCTATCACCCAGGGCATCAGTTCACTTCCACTTGCAGTCTAAAGTAACCCCACTGCCCTCTGCTCCCTCCCCACTCTCAGGAAGACTAGCGAGGGGAGGGGGGTTGGTGAGATGTGTGCATTGCCTACCTGACAATAACATACATGACCGAGCAGTTGCCCACCAGCCCCACTATGCACACGATGGAGTAGACGACCACGATGGTGATCTTGATGCCCAGTGGCAGGAAGCTGTCCCCTGTGCCGTTGTTAAACCAGTTACTGGGGAAACTCAGGTTCAGGATTGAGGAGTCGTTCAGCAGTTTCCTCAGATCAGGGTCTTCCAAAATATGAGCAGGAAAGAGAGGATCCATCCTGAACCTATCCAGCCTGTGGCAAAGACCTGGGGCACCAACAGACCAATAATGAAAATGGGATTAATAACAATCAATAAATGTCTAGAGCAGAAATAACCATATACCGGGGGCAAACCCTTCGGGAAATAGATATGGTCAAGCAAGCAGAGCCCTGCTTCTGCAAGACAGGCACCGTCATCTTATGTATGGTTCTGTGTCACACACACAAATGTATCAACAACACACAAAAACATTGCACTCATTTGGGGGTACTGTATGTCCCTATCTACTGTAGCACCAGTCCCTTTGCATGCATACACACACACACACAGCATCTGTCTTGCCCTGCCTGTTTTTTTGCTGCAGAACCGGCTAGATGAACACCTCTGTATTCTGGCAGGTGAAATGACATACAGAAAATACATCGTTGTTTGCAATGCCCGTTGTCAGCTGCTGTCTGTCGTCTCCGTTCATTGCTATGGGAGCCCCAAGCTGCCCTTGCATGCAGCCCTAGCGTAACAGAAATAATTCAGCTGGAATCTTGGACTAGGTAAAGTTAAATAAGCATGCTTGCGCCTTACCTCAATGCACACGCTTCCTTTCCCTTCGGTTAGGAAACTAGATCTTCCCCCCCTTTGGCTTCAGCAGTGCTCTGGTCCATCAATTAAATCCGGATGACAAAAGAGAAACAAAGCAAATGCAGGAGAGCTCTCCCAGCCTTCAGTCTCCCGGATTGTGAGATGCTGCTGCTGCTTTAGCAGGCGTTTGAATGTGGTGCTCACAGAGAAGGAAGATATTTTGACAGGGGGAAATCTCACACCCATGCACACGTTTCTAAACTCGGGGAGGTGAGGAGAAGTGTGAGCGGAGCAGAGCGGATCTGCTAACCAAAGCTGCTTCAGGGCCGTCTGCAGTTCTAGGTCTCCCGGTGCAGAGGGACTGGCTTGCAGTTCCAGCCTAGCTCAGTTGGGCTGTGATTTCTCCCAATGTGTAAAACACCTGAGGGGCTTTTTTCCTCCCCCTTCATTCCCATGTATAACTGTCCACCCCAGTCTGAAAGCCTTCTAGTGGGTCCGGCTTAGCTCTGCTTACATCACCTCTCTACCAGTTGCAGAGCGAAGCAAACTTGGGGGAAGCAGTCTCCTGTTGGCCAGTCACGCTGCCAGTGCACTGCAATCCACCCCCCTTTGCATAGTGTCAATGCATCTCTCTGCCAGCGAACCGCAGACCAGAGCTGGAGCTCAGCGCCAGACAAAGCCACACGAGGTGCTCTTCTAGGGATGGCCACCTTAAAGAAATACAACAGAGTTTGAGATGGGCCGAAAAATCTACCAGACATTGAGGGGAGAGCGGGAGACCAAAGTGGGCCCAAGAAAAAGGCTTATACAAAGTATCAGACCAATGGAAATGTCCCCATGGTTCTTTTTTAAAATTCAAATGGAAACTGGGTTATTTTTTCTTTTTAACAAATGAACATTCCCCTGCAGTGTTTCCTTGCGATTCAAATATTATGCCCTCTGCTAGTGCCCGAGAACCGGAAGCAGCATAACAAGGGGGAAGTACAGTGTCCTGGGGTTTTTTGTTGCTGTTGTTTGGTTTGTTGATTTTTTTTAAAATTGTTTTGATTCCAGTTCAGGTTTTTGTAACACAGGCCAGAATGTCTGGGACCAGATTAACAATAGCACCTGGTTGCACATGTGCACATGAGTGGCCAGCTGGGGTTGCCTCAGGCAACCCCCAAAATGCGCAAAAGTACCCTCTAAAAAATCTGGCCCCAGCAGAATACTGTCCTTTTGAAAACAACCAAAGCATTAAGAGCAAGTGGTCAGCAGATGCTTGTAAATTTGGCATTTCAACGCTGCACAACAACTGAGAGCACCATCTTACAACCTGACTTCAGTGGGAGATACCGCAGCTGGAGTTGGGCAAGCTGCAGGGGTTTGCCACTCAGATCTATGGGCAGGATTAGGATCTTGTGGGATGGGCCCTTAGTTTTACTTTGATCCTAAACCAGGGACAGCAGGGTGGTATGGGCACTCGCATAAGGAACAGGATTTTGCTACTGACCTTCCCCTCCCATCCTTTGTTTGTCTTGTGTATGATGTTTGACGTAGGTGTTGTCTCTCACTATGCCTTTACAGTCCCCTGTGCTATGGGGCTCTGATCTCCTGGGGCCTCAAAGGATACTAGAATATAAATAATAATGATTTAGGGCTTAATAGCAACTCCTAGACTCACTGGTCTCTGGACTCAGCAGCAGACATCAAAAGGGGTGGGCTCAAAACAGAGTGGGACACATCTGGGCATGTTTTCATCACATTTTCTTGGTCAGTGCATTAAAAAATGTGTGAGATAAGTAATGGGCTAGCCATTACTTTAATTGTTAATGGATTGATTTTCCAAACCTGCAGGAAGGACAGCGATCTATCAGTGCAAGGAAGCAGGAAGCGCGACTGGAGGCAGGAGGTTCAGAGAAGAACACTTATGAATTCTGCTCGGCTCTTTTCTGCTGGCTCCCAATCTGATTAATGCTTTTAAGTCGTCGGATATTCATTTTATGTTAATTTATGCACCAAATACAGTGTGTTAAAGCTGTTTGGTTTGTCGCAGTTGCTTTGATTTTTGAACTGAGACTGGAGGCTATTCAGGGGGCTGAGTAAAGGGGGTTGTGTGATCTCCACCATGCAGTTGGTTGCCTGAAGTTGGGAGCAAATGATTCTTTGTAGATTCGTTTGAAGGCTTGAGTTAAAGTAACTTGAATCTATCAAGGAACCCCCCGTCCCCATTCGCCTGGCCTCTTCATCCTGCATACCCACCCTGTCTCCCATAATAATCCAATAGGACACCTTTCCTTCTACCTTTGGCCCCAATTCTGCAAGTTGTTCCATGTGAATAGACCCTTCCACCCACATGGAACCCTAATGAAATCAGTGGGTCTCCCCACAAGTGCAGAGATCTATCCACCCAAAATGGGTCGCAGGATCCGGGCTTTAGCTCTCACCAGGTCTCCTAGGACTAGCTGGGGAGCCTGGGAGGCAGCGTGGCAAGGAGGTCAGCTCTCAGACAAGGGGTATTTGTCACCTTTCCTGCTCCGTGAACATCCTCAGCCTACTTTCACTGAGCTGGGGGCTGAAGTTCACAATCACACCAAGCCTCAAACCAAAGGCCCAGTTTGAACAGGCCTGAAGGTCAGTGCCAACATTTGGCATATTTCTAGTTACACACCAATGGGATCAGTGTTACTGCTGTAGGGAATGTCAACAGACAACAAAAAACTTTGTCCTCTGTGAAAGATACTAATGGTGGATCTAGATTAGAGAGATGATGAGGTCCAGTGAATAGGCCACCGGATTGAGTCAGGAAAACTGGATTCTGTTCCCACCTCTGCCACTGACCTGCTGTATGACCTTGGGTATGTCACTTCCCCTCTCTGCAACTCAATTTCCCTCCCTGCCTTGCCTGTTTACATTGTAAACTCTTTGGGGGCAGGGATTGTCAATTATGACACATAGTGTATATATATTGTATGGGACCTAGACCAGTGGCTCCTAATTTTTTCACAGGGGGCTGGGGGATCCAAGAGCAAATGTTTCATGAAAATAACTTAATGGAATATTTACCTTACCTTTAACTGAAATGGCAATAGACAGATGTAGACATGTCCAATGTCAGCCTACAGTGTTTGACGCTCCCGATTTATAATTATCCCAAATTAACAACAGATGGCAGAACCAAGTTGTCAGCAAGATGAAATCATTTTATGGGTTATGCTTGTAAACAAATATGTACATGAATAAATGCTGATATTTGAGTTAAAGTCCAGCACACATGTACAGGATTCCTAACAAAAACATACATCTCATGAATGCATTGAGTGCCCATTGCAACACTCATGGAAATTAATGGAAGACGACCACTACCCACTTCAATTTGATCCAACATCAGCGTTGGATCAGGCCCGGCATGACGCAAATACTCTGATAATATGTGAAACAGCTTATTGTATAATTTTAGTGCCAAATCCATATTATCTGAGAGTCTGGCAGTCACTTTAACAAATATTTTGGACTCTGATAAAAATAACGTGCTTGAACTGACTTTTTTGGCTGTGTTTTGACTTGTTTTGTAAAGTCTCAGAAGTTTGCATCATAAAGCATGCTAGAAAAATCACATTTAGGGTAGGATTACATATTCTCTTCTATATACGTTCTTGCAAAGGAGTTTAAGTCTGTCATTAGCACCCTTTGGCAGACATGCTTACGATGCTTCTATATGGTTGTGAGACATGGACAGCATATTGCTGCCACATTAGGAAGTTTGATCAGTTTCATACACACTATCTTCGGTCTGTTTGGATGTTCAAATGGGGGAACAAAATTCCCAATATTGAAATCCATACTCATTGTCTGATATCTGGCATTCAAAGTACGTTCATGAAAGCTCAGCTGTGTTGGTCTGGACATGTGGCTGACCTAAGAACACCCAAGGCCATATTTTAGGTCAGCTAAAGCAAGGCACCCATTCTCATGGTGGTCAGTATAGACAATAGAAAGGCACACTAAAGTCAAATTTGAAAGCATATCAGATTGACCCTGGCAGTTGGGAATCAACAGCCAACACAGACCAACGCGGTGGTAGATTGGCCATGTTGCATGTTAACCATGTGAAGCAAGGTGCATTAACAGCTTATGGGAAAAACCTGAACAACGCAAGCAAGGATACAACAACCTGCACTGGTCATGAACAGCGTTAGCTGTCCCACATGTAACCATTCTGGTGTTTCTCACATTGCTCTGACCTCTCACATATGTGTTCACCTCTATTGTTTGCTGAATTCTTATACGTTGACACCAGTGTGAGACTCCATCATCATGATGTAAGTTCTTACAGAGCACTCACCACCGTACTATCTGAGCGCCTTCCAGTCGTGCCATAAGCAAGGTCACTACATATCTGTCACATGTAATTTGTTCGCTCATCCTGTCCCCAGAGGGAGAAGCATGTGTGGTGGAGTGTCTTCTTTGGGTAGGGTTGTTGCGGGAGGGGTGTATTAATGTTCCCGTTGTTCTGTGTTTATGTTAGAGGAGGCAGGGCAAAGAAACATGCCTGGCACTTGGAGCAGAAAGCGGTGAGGTTTGTGTGGTCGTTAGTTCTTGTGGGAGTTTGTTCCACAATCTCAGGCCATGCCCAGAGAAGGTTTTGTGTCCTGAACAGACAGGTTTTACTCTTATCTTTGAGAGTTCCATTGTGCCAGGGATGCACAGCTGTCAACCACGGTCTTCAGAGCTTTAGATTGTCTTTTAAATATCCTAGGCCCAGCTACAGAGCACTTTGAAGATAAGGACTGAGACCTTGAACTCGCTTTGAAATTCTATAGGAAGTCAGAGCAGAGAGCAGGGGACAAGTCTGATGCACTCGCAGTAGCCTGTATAAAGCTTTAACCCCAGGAGTAGTCTTTACTCAGGTAAATAGTATCACTGAATGAGTATAGGTTTGTATCATCAGGTCCTTAATTTTACAGTGCGTCTGTATCAGACCTATCTCAAAATCGCAGGAGTTTCAATGCATAATCAAAAAACACCATACCGCCATCTGGGTTCAATGTTTAGCCAGACGAAAACTACCCAGAGAAGAAAATGTCGTACGTTTGTAGCTAATCAATCAAAATTTGCTGCCAATAACTAAAGAATCTGGCAGTTGTAGAAATAGATTTTTAAATCATAAACAGTATTCCAAAATACAGCAGATGTTTGTTACTTTTCCAGAAAACAGCTCCAACCCCCTGCAATTCACAATGGCAGCAATCTGTAGCTTTGCCTTTTTTGACCTTGCTTTTGGGAGGTGAAGATGTCTGTGTGTCATGGCTGTTTTGCCACATTTAGCACAGTTTGCTGAACTGTTAATCAAGCCAACCAGGAGCAGAGAATTAATCTTCCAAGGTGTGAAATCATTTTGCACGCAGAGATACAAGTGAGTAATCTAGCAAGAGAGGAAAGTTTATTGAGAATGCAAAGTACATCTGATCGGTTTAAAGGAAAGGTCAGAAAATCCATCTGTCTCTCTTGGATGATGGGTACCTGCAGTGTGTGTGCGGGTTGCAAATTAGCAACATCTTGCACTGCCTGCTATTGATGGTGGAAGATATTGAATCGTTTGTCATTAATCATTGCACATTATGCATCCAGCAACTGGTAAATGTTCACCTTCATAAAAATATAGACACTCAGAAAA